CTGCCTCTCCCAGGTACTTGGCATCTGCCTGGGGCTTCTGGAGGTCCTCAGATCTCCAGATAAAGATGGGTCTCTCCTCTGGCGGCCTTGTGTTAAGAGGGTTCCCTTTCCCGTGCCCCATGTGACTACAATCAGTGCTGAGTTTCTCTCCTCCCCCAGATGTGGGTCCCTGGAGGTCGGTGGTCCCTTTGGCCTCATTCGGGGCTCAGTTCCTGGCTTGTTCTTGTTGGAGAGCTGAAGGCATGGTCGGTAACGGCTGGACGGAGCGCAGGTCCCAGGGGCCACCTGCGGCGCCAAACCGCACTGCCCGGGTCCTCGCCCTCCTCGCCCCGCCCACACGGGCGCCGCCGTCGGTCTGCGCTCGCCGCCTGCCGGCCTCCGCCGGAACTGCCGCCGGGCCGGGAGCCCCGCGCACCTGCTCTCCGCGGGGGCTTTGCGGGCACCGCCTCGCTTCACACCTGCCAGCCGTGCGTGCACAGCTTCTCTCACACCCGGACCCGCCAAGGCGATCGCTTGGCCAAGGCCCCCAGCCCGGTGTCTGGGAGGCTCCAAGTGTCCCTCCGGGCCTCTGTCCGCCCTGCCACGCGGGCTCGCCTGGGCCCCCGCCGCTGCCTCCGCCCTGGGGCCCGAACCCTGGTCCGGGACTCGGCCTGCTTGGGCCTGGCGGGCACCCCCGCCGCTGGCCCTCCCGCCTGTCCGCCGGCCCTCCTTGCTTCCCCGACCCCGGGCCACACCCATCAGCACCCCCGCTCTGGCCCGCAGCCTCCCTTCTCTCCCCCATGCCCCGCCCCCCTCCTGCGGAGCCTGACTGGGGCTGAAGCGGGTCGCTCCCCGGTGCCCCGTCTTGTGGCCCCTGCTCCCTCGCGGGGTCACAGCCTGCCTTCTCCCGCACACGGGCCTCCCCAGTCTTCACTAACGGCTGGATGGACGGGTCCTTCTCAGTGCCCCCTCCACACCACCAGCCGTGTTCAGGGAGGACAGTGGCGGGAAGACAAAGCAGTGAAAATGTGCTTTGTCTGAATTTCACGTACACGGTTGTGCCAGCGAAAAAGAAAGCAAATACAGTCAACAGAAAGTATAAACAAGGAAAAAATGATGGATTAAAACTTTCTTTACTTTGTTGTATTTTCTCAAAAACAAGGGGATACTTATACCAACACAAGTTCTTCCACAGTAGTGAGTGTTAGGGCCCAGTCTCTGTCTTTGAGGCTCAACGTCTGCAAATTTGACAACGGTTTTGTCATGATCGATCCTTTTCTCCTTGTCACATTCAGTACACAGCCAGCCACATGTGCCATCTATTTCTCCCCATTGTTGGTCAAAGGACACTTTTTATTAAACTGAATTCTGGTAATTTCACGCAAAGCCACGGATTAGGGATGACCTTCTGAAAGACACATTTGGCAGGGGTCCCAGAGATGCAGTCTCACTGCGTTCTAGAATCGTGCTTCAGCCCGTGTCTCCGTAAACACGGATGTCTCCGGGCTTTCAGACATCTCGGCAGCTGGAAAGTCACTCAGACGCTGTCACCACATGGATGTGGTCTCTCTCTCTCTCTCTCTCTCTCTTGTTTTTTTTTTTTTTTTACGATTTTTATTTATTTATTTGACAGACAGAGAGATCACAAGCAGGCAGAGAGGCAGGCAGAGGGAGAGGGAGGGGGATGCAGGTTCCCTGCTGAGCAGAGAGCCCAATGCGGGGCTCCATCCCAGGACCCTGAGATCATGACCTGAGCTGAAGGCAGAGGCTTAACCCACTGAGCCACACGGGAGCCCTCTTTTTTTTTTATTCTTATTTTTTAAAAGATTTTATTTGTTTGTTAGAGCGAGAGCGAGCAAGAGAGGGCACAAGCAGGGGGAGGGGCAGAGGGAGAGAGAGAAGGCGGCTCCCTGCTGAGCAGGGGTTCCATCCCAGGACCCCTGGATCATGACCTGAGCCAAAGGCAGATGCATCACTGACTGAGGCACCTGGATGTCCCTGAAAGGGAATTTAAAAATAGAAACAAGAACATTAGGGTCTCAGTGACGGACTCTAACATCCTAGCGACGGGTTCCTGGGAGTGGAAGCTGACAAGAGAGAAGATGTTATAAAAAAAAAAAAAAAAGCACAAGAAAATATCTGCAAACCAAAGGGCATTATTTTCTAAACTCGGAGGGCCCAAAGTGCTGAGCAAATGATTGGGGTAGAAAACCACATCATGAAATTCTACCCCTATTCATAAGAGCTAATAGGGGAAGCAGCCGGTGCCCGTGGGTGGACAGATGGACAGAATGAGGACTGTACAGGCAATGGAATAGTGTCCCCCACAGTAAGGAAGGACGGTCTGACACCTGCTGTGAGACCTGTGAGCCTTGAGGACACTGCTAAGAGAGCCAGTCACAACAGGGCAAATACTGAAGGATTCCACTTGCTGGAATCGCAGAAGGTAGAATGGTGGGTGCCGAGGGCTTGTGGGGGGGTGGGGGGCATGCAGGATGCGAAGGGGGACAGAGCTTCAGGTCTACAAAACGAAGTCATGGCATTGATGGATAGGGACGGTTTCCCAACAGCACAAGTATATCTAATACTAAGCTGTACGCTCAAAATGGTGAAGATGGTAACTTCATGTTAAGTGTATTTGACTACAGTAAAAAAAGATATTTTAGAGGGGGAGGTGCTCGCAAAAAGGCTGGACTGCCAGGAGGGGGAATCACAGAAACACCTTAGCGTCTGTCTGCCCCTAACTGTGAATAGTCCTGAGATGTGTGAATAATCCTTCCTTCTTGAGGTGCACAGACTCGCACATTCATGACATTTTACTAGACGGTTTTTAGTTGGTAACACTTAGTGCTAGTTTTTCATTAGGGATACAATATTTAAACTTTATATTAGAAATGCAGAAACCACTCGGATTTTTGCCTTCCAGAAGGCATCAGAATTGCTTGCTCATCTCCATGTATGAAGGTAAATGGGTAACACCGGTAGACTGCCTTTTTTTTTTTTTTTTAAAGATTTTATTTATTTGACAGAGATCACAAGGAGGCAGAGAAGCAGGCAGAGAGAGAGGAGGAAGCAGGCTCCCCACTGAGCAGAGAGCCCGATGCAGGGCTCGATCCCAGGACCTTGGGATCATGAACTGAGCCGAAGGCAGAGGCCTTAACCCACTTAAGCACCCAGGCGCCCCACTGGTAGACTGCTTACTGCAAACGACGCGGGCAGAGGGATCATTAACGTGACTGGCGTGGCACCCCTGGAGGGAATATGGACGCTCCTAGAGCTGGTTCTCCTGACACCTGCTACAGCTGCATGCCTGAGGCTACTCGTCCCGGGACGCTGAGGAAATGGGAAGCAGCCAGATCCAGGACAGGGTGTGCACAGGTAAGCATAGGTGTTGGGGGTGGGGTACAGACACCTGCATCACTCGTGTCCTGGTCAGAGAGAGCGCCACAAGGACAGAGGCACTGGAAGTCTTTGCAGCCTCAGGCCTGGCATCCTGACCAAAGGCTAGATGGCAGACCCCTGCACAGACAGAGGACACCGAGGTCTACGTAACTGTTCTCTGGGTCTGAGCCAAGCAGGGCAGTTGCAACATTACGGAGCTGATGCAACGTCTCCTGCTGAGATCCCAGCAGTGGGTTCACATGGCCAAATGTCCTGGACTTATTTTAACCACCATTAGTTAAGACCACAGCCTCTTTTCACGTGGACTGTTCCTTCGTCCCTCTTTCTGGCCGATCACAAGCGCTTTTGGGACCCCACTAGGGCAACCTTGAGTGGGGATGTGCTTAGCTGGGGTTTATGGGATGTTTTAAGATACCCAGTCTTGCCTGCCTTTCCTGGGGTGTGTGGTCTTCTGTGGCTGCCAATTACCCCCTGCAGAGCATAAGCACGTGGACGTGAGGAAGACACAAGATTTGTGGTGTGAACCAGAAATCAATCTGCGAATTGGGATTGGAGGACTTGGTTCTCCCCAACAGCAGGGTAAACCAGAAGCCGTCTCCGCTGATAAGTAGCTCCATAACCAGTAGGTACGACGTAATACACCGTTCGCCTTTCTTCTGTCTTGGCGGGGACCGCACTCATCAGACTTCTATCCGTGGAGCACATCCTGGAGGAGCGTCTGTGCGGAGGCCCCGGTGTCACCCAAACCAACGTCAGACCAGCACTGGATACAGATCCTACCAAGCGCCCTGGGGAAGTGTCGGAGCAGCCCTGGCTTTTCACAGACCAGTTCCGCAAAGTCATGACGTGCCGTCCAAGGAGAATGCACCCGAAAACGTAAGCAAAAGCGTGAAGGAGACGCACTTGTAAATTCACACGAATGTTACTTTTTTCTCAAATTCTGTGATGCCGACCTTCTGTCCATCCGTTACCGCGAAGGGCTGTCCACTACTGTAGGGGAAAGGGAGGCGCGTTTCGAAGGTCACACGAGCTACACACGCTACAGAAGAATACTGACTTTTGTAACGAACCTTATTTTTACGGTTTTACGTGTGTTTTTAGCCGTTCCAAGTGCACAGGCTCGAGGCCCGTCCCAGCCCCGCTGCGGCACGGACCCGACGGCAGGGACCCGACTGCAGGGCGCACGCGGGGCGGCCGCACAGAACACGCACCCTGCGTCCGAGTCCACCGCAGCTCCCCCGCAGCCCCCTCTGCACCGGCCGCGGCTCTGGGGGTCCCGTCCTCCGGGCGCGCCCCCAAGCACCGGCCCCTCCCACCCGCACCCTCTCCCTTGCGCGGCCGTACCGCACCCCTTCTCCTCTCCCCTCCCCGCGCCCCCTCTCCCCTCGGCGCCCCGCACCCCCTCCGAGGCCCCCGCTCCGCTGCGGGACTCCCCGCTCCCCCGCCGCCCGCCCGCGACCGCCCCTCGGCGCCCCGACAGCGCACGGCCGCGACGTCTCCCGCCCCACGTCGCGCGCCGCCTGCCGCCCGCGGGGACGAGCCGGGCGCGGATTGGGCGGGAGCCGCGGGAAGTGCCCGCCCCCCCGGGCCGCCGGCCAATGGGGAGGCGGGGGCGGGTCGGCGGCCGGCGCCGGAAGCGGCCGAGCGACGAGGGGACGTCGCGTCGCCGGGTCTCTAGCAGCTGCCGCGGAGCCGCCGGACGGACCGCCGGACCTGCCCCCCAGCCATGGCCGAGAGCGACTGGGACACGGTGACGGTGCTGCGCAAGAAGGGCCCCACGGCCGCCCAGGCCAAGTCCAAGCAGGTGCGGCGCCGGGTGGGCCTCGGGACTCAGGGCGGCCGGGCGGAGGACGCGGGGCGGGGCCCGGGCGCGGGGCCGGAGGTGCGGGTGCGGGCGGGGGGCGGGGCGGGGCCGGGGACAAGGCTGGGGACCGGGGCTGCGTGGGCCAGGACGAGGCTGGGGGGGACCAGCCAGGGTCGGGGGTGAGGGTATGGCGCCCGGGATGGGAGGCCGGAGACCGGGGCAGGGAAGATGGCCGGGCGGAGACGGTGTGCGACAGAGGTCGGGTGGGGGAAAGGGCCTGGGGCCAGGGAGAAGGGAGGGCCTGGGCACAGAGCGTGGGAGGGCCGGTGGGGTGGTGGGAGGACAGGGGGAGGACAAGGGTGGGGGCGTGGACCGCTGGGCCGGGAGGGCTGTGGAAGGGTCCGGCAGTGTTTGGGGCCAGTGATGCGTGCCTGGTGGGGAGGCCCAGGTAAGGCCCCAGATGGTGGAGGCTCTGAATGCGGCCGGGGTGGGCATGTGGCCAGTGTCAGCGGGGATGGGGTGAGCAGGGGCCCCGGGGAGGGGGAGTACCCCCAGAGGAACTGGGGTGCAGATAGGGGGCGGGGCCGTCTTGGTGCACTCAGGGTCTCCTCTGCCAGTGCTTGGCCCGCCCAAGGCTGGCTGTGGAGCGTCACTGAGGTCTGTTTGGGGATGCGGGCAGCCCCTGTCCCTGCATGGGACCTAGAGGTGGCCTAGAGACCCAGGGCACAGGTAGACTCTGCTTCTGGGTCACTGGAGCGAAGGTGACGGGCTCTGAGAGGGAGAGAAGGTTCCTAGCTTGGCTTATCCACCCACAGTTCACGTGTGAGTCCGACGCAAGTGTGGAGGGGCTGGTCAGTGCCCCCCTGCTAAGTTTCTACCCTCGGGGGGCCTTGGGCCTGTACCCGCCTGCCCGGTCTGGGCCTGGATTAGCTGCAGCCCCAGGAACTGGCATTCCCTGACCTGCCCTGAGTTGCTCGCTTGTGGGGTCAGAACCAAACCCACTGTCCTTTTTCCCCGAGGAAACTTAGCAGTACGAGCTAGGAGTGACGTGGACACGTGTTGGAAGTGTCTCTGAACGTGCCACCGCTGTCTCGGCCCCGTGGCCTCTGTGAGGCGTTCCAGTCGGGAAGTACCTCTTCCTAACGTTTGGCGGGTGGAGGTCACAGGGTGTTGGTCTTGCTGGCGACGTTCGGGGGCGTGGGCCGTGGCTCTCATGTTAGGAGTCGGAGTGGCCAGGGAGTCTGATACCGGCCAGCTCCGGGTGTCCCTTGCTGCTTCTGCGGAAGATCCGTCGTCAGCTCGCGGTACTGGAGGGCGGAGGGTTTTGTGTGCTGAGCTCGGGGCTTCGACTCGGCCTTGCTTGTCTGGCTTGGACAGAGCTTCAGGACACGCGCTGCGGGCCAGGCCACCTGAGCTGCACAGGCCCTGGACGTCCACAGCGGACTGACCGGCCCACAGCAGCCGGCGCTGGTGTCTGCAGATCGGATTTTGACCGGAAACTGTCCGTGTTTTTAGGCCATCTTGGCGGCTCAGAGACGAGGAGAGGATGTGGAGACTTCTAAGAAATGTGAGTAGTGTGCTTCCTCACCAAACGCGGGCTGCTCTCGGGCGCTCTCTGCACCAGGCATCAGCACACCCGCGGTGCCCCCAGGGTGTCGGGACGGCTGCGGGGGGCTGGAGGTGGGCTGGGGTCTTAGCAGAGCAGCAGTGAAGGGTGTAGTCAGGCGAGAACTCACACGAGGTTCTGCGCCCCATGTTCTTAAGCCCGTGGGGTTCCCTGTGTTTTGGTGCCTGGCTTCTCAGGTCACTGTGGCACAGGCCGCCTGTGGGCCTGCTTCCTGTTCTGAAATGGCTTTGTTGGGGGTTCGTGGCAAACCTTGTGCTGTGCTTTCGCCTCGTGCCGGTGCAGGGGCCGCCGGCCAGAACAGACAGCACTCAATCACCAAGAACACGGCCAAGCTCGACCGGGAGACCGAGGAGCTGCACCACGACCGCGTGACCCTGGAGGTGGGCAAGGTGATCCAGCAGGGCCGGCAGAGCAAAGGGCTGACACAGAAGGACTTGGCCACGGTGAGCATGGCAGGGCCCTTCCTCCCGGGCTGCGGCTGGGCAGGTGGGAGGTCGGTGGTCAGAGCGCACTGCCGCACGGCTGGGTGCAGCTTTCAGTGGCGCTTGGCCCTGGGAGCCCCTGGGGAAGCTGTATCGGGCCAGCTGTCATCTTCCTCTTGAATGTGGCATGGCTTCCATCGTGTGCAGACCCCGGGGCCTCTGAGGGTGGGCACCTAGGAAGGCCCTTGGCCCACGTGTTGCCACAGAAGGTGGTGCTCGTGGCGACTCCCTTGGCTGTGTGCTCATTTTGTGACCTGCTGTTGTTGGAGTTGTCATGTGCAAAATCCGTCTCTTTAGAAAATCAACGAGAAGCCGCAGGTCATCGCAGACTATGAGAGTGGACGAGCCATTCCTAATAACCAGGTTCTGGGCAAAATCGAGAGAGCTATCGGTGAGTGTCCTTTGGTCCTTTATCGGGTCCCTGCTGCTGCTGCCTGACCAGGTACAGGGCAGCTGCCAAGCACAGGAAGGCCCCCGAGGCTGTGGAATTCTCCAGACCCTTAGGAAATTCCCAAGTTTGTTGTCTGAGTGTCGTCTGCCCCCCCAGCCCTGGCTTTCATTTCCTCTATCCCCCTGCTTTGTTGCTGGCCAGCGCCCTCTGGGCCTGTGGATAGAAGGCTCAGTGGCCACCCCATGGTGTCAGTGTGGCACCGAGCATGTGGAGCTCCCAGAGCACTGGAGCCCTAGTTCTGGGAGGGGACAGCTGCCCTCTACCCTGGAAGGTTAGCAGGTACTCGGACTGTGGGCTGAGCCCAGCCAGGACTGGAGGGGGCGGTCCTTGGCCTCCTTGCTCTCTCCGGCTCCTTCCTGTGGAGGAGGGGGGCTGGTGCTCAAAGGGTAGGGTGGGTGCTGCTGCCACCTTGGGGGTGATGGCTGGGAGCGCTGTGCCGCTGTCCTGCCTCTTGGGTCCTGGAGTGGCCGCCGCGGCGGTGAGTGGGCCAATGGCTCTTTCAGGCCTCAAGCTCCGGGGGAAGGACATCGGGAAGCCGATTGAGAAGGGGCCAAGGGCGAAATGAACACAAAGCCTCGAAATCAGTGCGTTCCGGCTGATCTCGTCTGGCTGGTTCCCCTTGACCACCAGCGCCAGCGTGGGTCTCTTCACTGGCCGAGCGGAACGCGGGGCGTCAGCCCTGCCCAGGAACTCCCTCTCCCCATACCGCTGTCAAACAAAACCTTGCAAAGTATTGCTTCTCTTGAGCTTTTTTCCTTCTCATCCCCAGTGTCTGCCCGGTCTTGGGGTGACTCCTCGGGGGGCTGAGTGGGACCATCTCACGCTGGCGGGGGCTGTGGGGTGGGGCGACCCGATGGGAAGAGCAGATGCTGTCTCCAGTCCGGCCTTCAGAGAAGCCAATAAACGATGGTTGTGCTTCCTGCTGGCGGAGAGTTGGTGCTGTCTAGTGCGGTCTGCCACGCCTTCAGCGCACCACTTTGGCCCACAGCGTAGGAAGACACGGGTTTCGTGACATGCCGTGTTGGCGGGGGGTGGTGCCTGAGGACCGTGAAGGTCACTCTGCAGCGCTGTTTCCTTGTCACCCTTTGCTGGGACACTTTGTGGGCGTTGCCTCGGGGCCCCAGACCCGTGTGCTCCCCTGGCTTGGGCTCTCCAGTGGCCTGGGATGGCAAGGCAGGGGAGCCTTCCTGCAGGTAGGAGGAGAGCACCTGGCTGTGTGGGTGCCCAGGGGGACCCTTCCTGGGTCGGAAAGATTCTGCTCCGTTTTATTAGGGTATGTGGCACACCAGGGGCTCTGACAGCTCAGAGACAGGGGTGGCCTGCCTTCTCAGAGCCTGTGAGGAGAGCAGGAACCCCAGCTTGGCCTGCCAGTGACCTCAGCGGCATCACAGGGCACTGAGTGACCTGTGTTTTGAGACATATCCTTTTGGGGACCACTTCAACTTGACCATGGGATGGCGGACATGGGGGCCCTTATGACACAGGACCTCTACCGTGGGACAGTGGACATGAGACCTTTATTTAGAATCGTGGAAACAGCAGAACATCGCCCCACCACCCAGACCCACTCTACGCCCCCTTGTACCCGGTTAAGCGTTTGCTCCTCGGTCTGTCGCCTGCACTGTGGGGGTCTCTCCCTGTCCTAAGTCAGATGCAGAATCACCCAGCAAGGCAGGGACGGGGCTTGGGTCAGGATCCCATGGGCTGGGCCGGGCCACCTGAGTGTTAAGGTGCCTGCCGGGCCTGGGGCAGGGGCTTATCAGGGTGTACTGTGTCTGTCTCTGCCTCTTGCCCTGGGTCCTGTCTGGTGTGGTCACCGAGTCCCTGAGATGTGTGGGAGGCACCCCCAAGCACATCCTTTCAGCTGCGGAGCCCCGGGAGCCCTCTTTGCTGCTGACACAGCAGGAGGCACGGACCTCAGCCAGTAAGTGGGGGCTGCCCTCACAGGCGAGGGCATTTATTGTTGGGGTGAGGACCGTCCCCAGGCATGTGGGTGGCAGTCTCTGTGCAGGGTGACTGCCTGGGGGCTCCAGAGATCCTGGGGGAGAGGCAGGTGTTATTCCCTGGACAGGGCTGCGGTCGGGGTGGGTGTGCTTGTCTGGGGAGCCAGTCTCTGGGCCATCTACTGGGGGTCGGTGAGCGAAGCCGGCAGGGTGACATGATCCTAGATGGAAGGAGGGGAGCCTCTGAGTGGTGGGGGATGTATACACCCCCAGCCGGTCAGGCCAGGCGGACTTCCCCGCAGTCTCCCCTGCCCACTGGCCTCACCCAGGGGCGCCTACCGCATTGAAGACAATGTTGTCGAAGCCTGGGGCCACGGCTGCTGTCTCGGCCCGGGAGGGGCAACTCCCCTTTTTCTGCAACCAGCGCCATCCCCCAAGTCCAGTCAGCACCAGGACGATGAGCACGAGGAGGGCACTGCCAATGATGGTTGGCACCGACGCGGCCAGTGCTGTGTCCCCTGTGGGCCGTGGGCATGTGAGCCCTGGGACTCGAGCCCTGCCCATCAGCCCTACCCTGACAGCTGAGGACACGTGGGATGGCCCGTCCTTGAGGCCCCAGCAGGCTGGAGGGGGGCGCCAGGCTGAGGCCAGGGACCTGGCAGGTAGCTGGACCCGTCCCTTTGTCAGCTGTCAAGAGACAGCCAGCAAGAGCTCCACAACCAGGCTGGTGGTGGTCTCTGGCAGGACGGGGCAGCTGCTCCAGGGTCTGCCCAGCGCCCGCCCCCTCCGCGGGAGTGAGGGCATGCAGTGCCGGTCCAAGAAGGGGACGCAGACCTGGCTGGGCTCCCGAGGGACCAAGGACCAGGGTTGTCCAGCTCAGAAGGGGAGGAGACGGGCGCCTGCATGGCTTGGTTACGTGTGGAGTCTTACTTCAGCTCAGATCATGGTCTCACCCGGCTCGCCCTCCCTGCTCGGGGAGTCAGCTTGAACGTCCCTCCTCCGCCCCTCCCCCTGCCCGCCTGCTCGCACAGGAGCCTTCTCTCTCAGCACGTGAATAAATCTTTAAAAAAGGGAGTGGACAGAGGGGGAGGGAGGGAATGGTGCGGGGCTGATCTTGGTGACTTTCCTGGCCTCTCAGGCTGGAAGCCGGGCCACTGGCAGCCATGTGGGCCATGAGCCGCTGTGCCTGACGGGGGCCCCGAACGCGAGCAGAGCTGGTGGACCTGGGCAGGGCTCACCTTGGCTAGATGTGGGCCGCTGGCAGGGCTGCCCGGCCAGATACTCCACGTCGTCCAGCGCGATGGGCCCCAGGGCTGGCTGGCCGCTTAGTGTGGCTTCAAACACGATCTGACCAGGAGGGAGAAGGGGTTGTGTGGGCGAGAGGAGGCTGGTCCTGCCCAGGCCTCTGGGATCTCAGGCGCAAGGGCCGCCAGGCCTCACCTGGAACTCCTCGGCACTGACCACCTCCACGTGGCCTTCCAGCCACTGGTGCCGCCGGTGTGCGCCGGCGCTCCACACAGTCAGCTGGCCCCGCTCGCTGTTCAGGATCACCCTCAGCTCCCCCTTGTCTGCAAGTGGGGGTCAGGGCAGGTCAGCGCCGCTCCTGGCCCCGGCTCTTCCTGCCACCCAGGCGCTGGCGGCCCAGCCGCACTCACAGAAGTGCTCCGGAAAACCCACGTGGTACCAGAATCGGAGGCAGGAGGACTCGGTGGCGGGCAGAGGCTGGCTGCGCAGCCAGGCCGCCCGGCCCCCTGGGCCCAGCACACCGGTTTCAAAGAGAACAAAGTGGCCTGGAAATGAGAGAGGGCAGGGCTCTGGGCTGGCTGACGGGATGGGGTGGACCCCGCCGACTGTGATGGGAGCCTGGACCGGCTAGGCTCGTTGGCCCACGGTGGGGTGGGGCGTGGGCCTCTTCCGCATCTCAGACCCACCTGCTTCTGTGCCCAGAGTGTGGTCCACGGGGGGCTGGGGGTACCGGGAGGGCGTGGCCCCACTGCTCCAGTCCCAGCTAAACCCTCCTAGGCTAGGCCAGGGCAGATGGCTCCAGCCGCACAGGCCGACCTCGAAGTCACAGGAAGCTGCGAGAGACCTGGGCAGGTCAGCAGGGTGGCCCCCATTTCCCCTCTTGGGTCCAGGGCCGGGCCAGGCATCTTGGGGTTGGTATGGAGCAGGTGCGAGGGCCGGGCAGGGGGGATGCTCCCACCTGGCGGGGGGCAGGGCCCATCCTGGAGCAGCAGGTCGTCTAGTGCGATGTAGGACCGCTCCACACCAGCGGCGACCGCCTCAAATACCACCTGCACGGGCACGGTGGGGGGGTCGCCTCCGGCGTCCAGACCGCCCTCGAAGGGGAGAAGGCCCCCTGCCCCCCACACTCACCCTCCAGGCCCTCTCAGCCTGCACGTCCACACTTCCCAGGCGCCAGGCAAAGCCCCCGTGGGCACTGAGGCTGAGCACCTGCTGCCTCCCGGCCTCCTCCACGTGGACCTGCAGGGTGCCTGCCATAGCACATGGCCAGCCCGGTCAGCAGCCGCCACAAGGAACAGCCCGTCGGGGGCTCCCGGGCAGCTCCTGCCACTCCTCACCTGGGCTTCTGAGGCTCAGGTGGTACCAGAAGGTCAGGCAGGCGGGCTGGGTCAGAGGCCGGTGCTCCTCTGAGGTCAGGGAGGCCACATGGCCACGGGGCAGGGCGTGTGGGCTCGTGTCCACCACCATGTAGTGTCCTGGGGGGTGCCAATGTCAGCCCGCGTCTGACTCCCCCGGGCACCCCCGACCCCTGCCACGTACCCTGAGCCGTCTCTGTGGTGTGGTCGGTGCGGGGGCCCCAGGAGGCATGGCCCGTGGCATTGGTCTGTCGTGTCCAGAGGCCTTGGCCGCTGCTGGAGAAGCCACAGTCCGAGTCCTCAAAGGAGCACTGCCTGGAGGCCCAGCAGGGCCCAGGCCGCATGGCCACGTCATCCAGCGCCATGGTCCCATGGTAGCCGTCTCGGAGGCCCTGGAACAGCAGCTGGGGACCAGGGGCGTCAGCGGCTGGGGGCCTTGCCCGGCCTCCCCGCCCCCCCAGGCGTGGGGCCTCACTTGGTACTTGGCGCCGGAGCCCGCCTGGTGGTGCAGGGTGGCCCAGGCCTCGTGCCAGCAGTTGCCATGGGTGCCGCTCCGTGACCACAGGAGGGTTTCTGCCTCTCCTTCCCGCCTCACTGCCAGGCGCAGTGTCCCTAGATGCAGGGGAGGGTAGGAGAGGGCCAGAGCCTGGCTCCTGGTGGCTTCCTGCCTCTCCTCCAGGGCTCTGGAGAGGCAGAACAGGGAGCCCTCGCCCAGCCCCAGGGTCACTCACCGATCTGGGGCCCGTGGAGGTGGTACCAGAAGGAGAGACACTCCTGGGTGGCTGCTGGGGCCTGGGGCTGGGTGAGCAGGTGGGCCCCGGGGCCCCGGGCCAGGGGGTCTGTGGGATCCAGGAGCAAGAAGTAGCCTGCCGTGGGGACACCGGGCTGAGTTGCAAAGATGCCAGCTTCCGGGATGGGCTTGGTCAGGATGGGCGTGGTGCCCTCCACCCGCTCCCCGACTCTGAGAGCTGCTTCCCAGGCCTGGGTGCCCCCACCCTACCTTGGCCCGTGGTGTGGTCGTACCCAGGCCCACGGCTCTGGATTCGGCGCCAGTGGGCATCAGTGAGGTGGCCGGAGTGCCAGCCGCAAGTGTCCCGCTCAAAGTTACAGGAGACCTCTGGGGGGGCCGGGGGGGTCAGCACAGCCCAGTGCCACCAGGCGCCTCCTGTGTCCTGAGGGGGCGGGGGCTC